CTTCTGCTCATCAGCAGCCCTTCTGTACCTTTATGGATTTCTTGGATTTACTGTAAGTCTGTAAGTGTCCAATTCACATACCACTTCTACCTAGGTTCTAGAAGCAAACTAGCTTGTTATTTTTGGAGGCAATATCTCCATATCACTATTGGACAGTCCTTTCCTACACATTTGTGGTGGAGGACCTGGCCTTGAACACTTCCAGCGATAGGGCATACACAGTTTCTCTGGGTAACCTGTTTCAGTGCCTCACCACCTTCGAAGTAAAGAATTTGTTCCTAATATCTAATATAAACCTACTTTTTTTCAGACTGAAGTCATTCCTTCCTGTCCTGTCCCTTAGCAGGGACTGAGTACATTATTCAACCATTTAACAGTATAATTTTTTTTTGTAGAGGCACTGACAAAGTGTTTGTAAGGACTTAAAGAACATAGTTGCCCATCTCAAACACCATCACCACAGAAGGACTTTGCTGTGAGATAAGCACAGAATGGAGTAACAGGATGGTGCTGACTCCAGGCCTGGCATAGGTGAGATCTGGTCAACACAGCTCAGGTAATACATCCAGAGGAAAATTCCCACTATGGCAAACTGTGTAAAGAAGCAACTGCTCGTACATGTATCACTGGTCAAACAAAGATCACCCCAAGTTATGGGACAGATGCCATCTGCTGTCATGGTCTGAAAGGGGGATGGGACATGAGGAAGGGTGCAAACAGAATCCTTTATTCAGGCATACCCGCTCTCTTTTTGTCCACTTGGGAGCGGAATGGACCACAACATAGGGCGGAGCATGAGACAGACAAGCAGAGGGACAAACCAGGATAGGGACACCGGCAAAAGGGGGAGGAGTGGGGGAAGCAGGGAGCAGGCAAACTCAAGGCAAACCTGGGCTTGTCCAGGCTGTGCAATGTGTAGTGTGAATACAATGAAACCACATAATAACAGCAAAGTCCACATGACAAAGTTCCGCCAATTGCTGCACGCTTCTCTCCGCGCCCATAACTGTTCCCATCCTGAATCGTGTTCCTTCACAATCTGCAACCATCAGCAACAGCCAAAGCCCCCTCAAATATGTCTCTGTGGATACCTTGAACTTGGACTGTAACTTAAGCCATAGCAGGAGCTTGAGATAAGGTAAAGGTGATACTATTGTTCAGGTGTTATCTGAGACCTAAGGGGACATTAAAAAAGCTGAGAGAGAATAATAAGAAGTCCAGGGTGAAGGCTGGGATGCTGCTAGGTCCACAGGAAGTGACTATCTTCTGCTTGATATCTCTCTCCCTTCTCATTTCTTTCTATCTCTCTACCTCACACTCATTGCTAAGTAAAATCCATATTATTGACATATGATCTCATTTGCACCTTAATTTGAGCAGAGACATCTCTCAGTAACCAGATCTTAAGAGTGTTTTTTTTGTTAATTACACTCACATTAACATGGCTTTGTTTTATTTCTTGGTCTCACTTTCACTCATACTGACACAACTCAGAGGTATGTAGGTCAGTAGGACGGGGAAGTGGAGGTACCTGTCTGTGTTTACTGCTGAAGAAATCGTATAGGACTCTGCATCTTGCGGTGGCCTGTATTTTGATCAGCAAAACCCTCCTCACAATGCACAAGTTATTATGAAGTAACATCCAGCTTCACAGTGTGAGAGCAAGAACCTTTGTTTTTTGGATTTCGTTTATTTATAAAGTCACTGTTTGGCAATTTCTCCCTTCCTTCAAATGCTCAGAGGAGAAATGGGTAATATTTACCTGCTTAATGATTTAAATATTGACATGTGGCTTAAAAATAAGAAAAAAAACCCACAACAACCAACAACCAAAAAACTGGTAATGAGTGTTATGTTAATTGGAAAACAAGAAGTCTGGTGAAAATCAAATGAAGATGTCTTCAGGTTTTTTAGGGCTTTGATCTGAAGTCCTCTACATCACTGTCCTTCTCTGCCATTAATCCAGTTGACCACCAGTGTCATTACCTTGAGACACGAGTCTTTGAAATGCACTCTTATGCACAGTTGAACCAACAACAGAATATTTAGAAGCCTCTTGTGTCTTCTGGGGATGGGACCGTTCTCTAAAGTGTTTCTTAAGGAAGACGGTATCTAATTCCATGGTGATTTATACCAAAATTATTTTATGCCATTGCAATATCAAGGCCAGACGTTTTGGATCAGGTGCCAAACAATCAGCAATAAATCATTTATTAATAACTGACTAGTGTCATTTCTTTAATTAAGAATTAAAGCATGTTTGGCTACCTGTAAAATATAAGTGTCATTTTTGGTGGCAATCCTTAATATTGCAGACCTTACTAGTCTCCAGATTCTCTTTACATCTGGACCTTTAACTTATAGTTTGACCTTAGACTGAGAGTTCCTTAGGTTTCTATGACTTTTCTATTCCGTTTTTGTTCTGAGCAGTTCAATTTGGTGTGTACACAGAAAGATACCTTTTTATGACTTCTAGAATATCTCTGACATTCAAATGAATTTACCAAAATTTAGGGGATGAACAGGGAATGGTTAAAATAAGATGAAGACCCATCTCCTCTTTGTCCTTATACCTAGTCCATTTTGCAAAGGGTGTAATGAAGGTTGGAACTAACCTTGTTATGAAGTCACCAGTACTGAGCTATCTTCATGTGTCTTTGATATCCAAGGCAGTACTGTAGTCAGCAGTTTCAGTCTGGACAATGAGTGAAACAAAGTTCTGCCCAGTATCCTCTTAGGATCTGAATGTCTCTTAAGTCTACTGAGAGTTTTGGCTGCCTGGTCATCATTGCTCAGAAAGGTTGTGGCTGCCCCATCTCTGGAAGTGTTTAAGGCCAGGTTGGATGGGGTCCTGAGCAACATGGTCTAGTGAAAAGGTGTCTCTGCCCATGGCAGGGAGGTTGGAACAAGATGGTTTCTAAGGTCCCTTCCAACACAAACCATTCCATGATTCTATGATTCCATTATATGAAACTGTCACCTAAGACACCTATGTGTAGTCTCCCCAGATTTAGGTGGCTTAATCTGAAACACCAGCCAAGCCACTGGAAATCAGTTTCCTAATGGAAGTATTTAGGGCTGTTGAGATGCTTCTGGACATGAGACACCTGATGAGGGAATGCTGACATTATTATAGTGTGGCATTAGGTAGCCAGCTGGATATTCCCTGAAGGAAATGCAGCCTGTGGAAGCATCCACTTTGGAGTAGGGAGTGTATGAAGAAGATAGAGCAGCTGAGACATGCTGTTAAGGACTGACAGCAACTCCCATCCCAATCCCCCTGAACTGCGAGGGATGAGAGGACTCAGAAAGAGTGAAGTCGAGCCTGGGGACAAGGGGGTAGGGTGGAGGAAGATGTAATTTTAATGTTTGGATTTGTTTCTTACTACCCAATTGTGAATAAATTATTTTCCCCCAAGTTGAATCAGTTTTGCCTGTGACAGTAACTGGTAAGTGATCTGCCCCATCCTATTTTTCAGCCTATTTTCTCCCACTATTCTGCTGGTGAAGGGGAGTGAGAGAGCATGTGTTTGGGAATTTGGCTGTTAGCCAAGGCTAACCCACCACACCCTGAGGTAGCAAAAATCTAAAAAAAGTGGCCAAAAAGTTATAGGAGGTTATTGTTTGGAATAGGTCTATTGGAATGGGCACGTTCTGAGGAATGTCCCGTTACATTATTGTGCATTTCCATTTTAATATCATGTTACTGTTATTTGGAAGTTATTAGTCTTTATGAGTTGTCCAAATAGGGTACTTTTGTCAGTTAAAAAATTTTATTGCATATAACTGTAATGAAAATTCAAAGGATCTTAATGCATAATTCTTATACTTGCTCTAGAAGAAATCAGGAGCAATGTCGTCAGTTAAAAACTCCTGCATACTTCAAGGACAGCATAACGGATAAAAAGATCAGGCACCTTAGATTTGGTTGATGTTACGTTTAACTAGATATTGTGTGCATTTAGAATCTGAGCTGCTTTTATTTTCTTTTCTGAAAACTAAAATGTAAATGGAGAGTTTTCATGTGCAAGTTCTTGACTAAAACAGATACCTAAAAATGCCAAAGGTTGTGCTGGAATTATATCCAAGTTGGCAAGGACCTACCAGGCAGAGTAATGCAGGCTTTAATCTGTGAAGGACTATGACACAACTGCCTCTGGAGTGGAGTTTTACTGTTTTGGTTTTTCACCTCTCCTTTCTTCACCTTTTTTACTTAGCAGAGACAGATCTAGTTTATCCACTATTGAACCCTTAGCAAAGATTTTGTTGGTAAGTGTAACCTGTATGAACTGTTGTTCATACAGGAGTTCACAGAAAACTCGATGTTTTCATAGAGGTAAAGAATGGTTTGGGTAGGAAGGAACCTTAAAGATCACCTAGTTCCAATCCTCCTGTCATGGACAGGGACACCTTCTGCTAGACCAGATTACTCAGAGCCCCATCCAACCTGGCCTTGGACACTTCCAGGGATGGGGCAGCCACAGCTTCTTTGGGCAACCTGTTCCAGTACCTCACCATCCTCACAGTAGAATTTCTTTCTAATATCTAATCTAAACCTATTCTCAGTTTGAAGCCATTCCCCCTTTACCTGTCCTTACACGTTCTTGTAAATAGTCTCTCTCCATCTTTCTTCTAGGCTTCCTTCAGGTACTGAAAGACTCCAATTAGGACACCATGAAGCCTTCTCTTTTCCAGGCTGAACAATCCCAATTCTCTCAGTTTTTCTCTTATCCAGTTTTAACTGTTCATTTCCACATACAGATACATTCTTCCAAGGAAATAATTCTACTAAGTGTCATAACATGTTTAGTTGCTTGGTAGACCTTTACAAGTTAAAATTTAACCTTTATTTTTGTATTTAGAGGCTTGAACAAAATCAGTCCAAAAACATCTGCAAATGCTTGTGAGATATGACAAATTTATAAACAAAGAAACCAAAGAAGGGAAAATGCAGAGAATGGGAGATTGACACCAACATGGTGTTACAACAGGTCAGTGGGAGATCTGCAAACAGGTGAAGGTATCCTGAGCTACAAGGTACAGTGTACAGTGTACTGTACACTGCCTCTTATCCTTCATCCATGGAAGTGGTGATGAGAGAAGACTGGGATGAGTTCTTTTCTCTGTTTAGACTTGAACTCGTATTTTGGGCACTGGAACAGGCTCCCCAGGGAATTGGTAACAGCATCAAGCCTGCCAGAATTCAAGAAGACTTTGGACAACACTCTCAGTACATAATCTGATTCTTGCGTTATCCTGTGCAGGGCCAGCACTTGGACTTGATGATCCTTGTGGGTCCCCTCCAACTCAGGAGACTCTGCAATTCTATGTGTAATTTAAGCCAGTGAAATCACTGACTTTTTCTGTCTTTCCTGTCTTTCTTCATCTAACACATCTGTCTGCTATGGTACAGAAAACAACATGAATAGAACTGGCTTAAATATGATTCACGACATCACAGAATGGGTATGGTTGGAAGGGGCAACAGTGGGTCATCTGGTCCAACCTCCCTGCTCAAGCAGTGTCATCTCAGACAATTCTTGAATATTTCCAGTTATGAAGACTCCACACGCTCTCTGGGCAAATGATTAATGCTAACATTTTCTTGATGGGGTAGCCTCAACATGGAACAGCAGAATGACAACCATATGCATAATTTAAATATTCCCTGATGAGAGATTAGCACTTTTGTTCTTTCCACAGAAGTTTCCTTTCTTTTTTTTTTTTTTTTGTTTTGTATTAACTTTTTTTCCCTCCTTGTCTGATCTCACTGCTTTTTATCATAGATGTTTCTCAATGTCTCTTTTCCCTACAGGAGGCCACACAGGAGGAGCTTTTCACAACCTTTCCTCATTAGTCGCACAGTGTCCACTCTACCTGCTGTAAAATAGGAGAGGCCAGATTAAAACCGCTTTAGTTAAAGTTAAAAGGCAGAATAAAAGATCCAGTATTCCTGAGCATGCCCATTTTCTTGAGCACTTTTGAGAGTGGATGTCCAGGATTCCCAGACTTTTAGGTTGGATCAAGTGGTCACTTCTCTAACAGCATGTAATTTTTCATTCTTCCTCCCCAGGTATTACCAGATAAGAGCTGGACTGAAGATCCCATCCAGAATTCCCCATAGGCTGTTTGCTACGATTGGAGGACAGACAGGTGAGCAGACCCTAGAGGAAGGTGACATGATTGTACGTGGGTTAGATGGAGGAGTGTGGGGGGGGAACAGGTGAGCCTAGATTTGGATCCAAGCCTGGATTTCCTTAAGGTTCTGTAGTTGTTCATCTCTCTATTCTGGTGTGGGTTTGGGCTAAGTTGGGCTTGTGTCTGTCAGAAAAGCAGAGGAAATTCTCACCATCTTATCTGCAAGCATCTCTTTTATATGTGGCTCCTTACTGACAATTTTCCAGTTTAATATTCTTTTATGTATTTAAGGTTCTCTTTTTTTTTTTAAGGAAAAAAGTGTATTCTTCAATTTGGAAGTCTCCTTTAAATAAAAACCAAAATTATTAGACAAGTTTTATCTGTATAAAATAGAAGAAGTTAAACCGAAATCTGAAAATAAATCACATGAGGACAGATAGAATTTTACTTTCTTGGGGCAAAAATCACTCAGCAACAAGAAACAAAAAAGGCAAACTACTCCCTGTTGTACCAGGACTGGTTATACTATTTAAGGAAAAAACTCAACTATTTATCATATTTACTTTTTTAAAAAAACAGTATTTTCTTCTCCCTCATACATCTTCAGTGTCAGGCCAATACTGAGGGTTCTTTCACCTCTTCAAGGAACAATTCATGCAGATGCAGGGGCAGGAGAGAGACAAGGCAGGCAGTGCAGTTACAGGATTAGCAGTTGACTTTCTTATTGCTAATGCGATCCAGACTGGGCTCTAATAGCCTTATAGGGCTGACATCAAGACAGGGGGTATTTAAGCTATTAAGGATTTAAACAGTTTCTCTTTGGCTATCTTTGCAAGTACTTCCTAATTGATTTCATAGATCTGCAAGGGAGCATCATTTAATGGGACTGAACTTAAAGGCACACAGGCCATAATGTTTTTTTTTTCATACCACTGACCTCTCTCAGTATGAGAAAAGCCGGCACAGGACTAATTAAATTGCTGTGCATGTTTCAATAAGACACCCCTAATAAAGTAGCATTGCAAAGAAACAAGTGTGTTATAAAAGTGTGAATAAACTCCTGCCTCACCAACAAGAATATAAAATAACTGACATTTGTGAGTTTGGTGTAAAGGAAATATTTTTAATCTTTCCCTTATTGGGTTCGTAGGATCTGTGAGAACTGGAAATATACTTTGAAAATGATTATGTAAATTTATGTAGTAAAATCTGTGAATATATGCAGTAATAAAATATATAAAATATGTAAATATATAAAATAAATGACTCAGTATTTATTTTCCAGCACACATGGTTTTTTATTTTTATTAAACATACAGGATTTACAATAATACCTTGCAAACTGGCAGCATTAGCAATGTTTGCTTCCCACTGGATGTTTCAGCAACAGAGGCAAAAACCCTTGTAGTTTCCAATAATTCTGGAGAGGGGAAGCTGAAGTCTGTGTCCCTTGGTGGTGACTAACCAAATGTGTACATCAAGGACTCCATCCATGGTACAGCACTGACAGGTTTTAAAGGAAGCCTCGATGAGCTACTACATGGGCCACACTCTGGCCACATCCTGTCTATGTTTTGGGAAGAGAGTGGGCTGTGTGGCTCAGTCAAATCCAAGGAGAGCTGTGCTGGAGCCCAAGAGCCCCTGTGATCTGGTCACTTCTGTCATCAAGCCTGCACATCAGCTTGTATTGAGTCAGTGTATGAACAGGAATATGCCTGAACCCTATCTGCATATGCACATAATCATAAAAATATATACATTTAATTCATACTCCTAAGCACTTTTAGCAAGGTGGGTTTTCTTAGAGACAAGACAATACTGGTGGCTGGTGACTTTTCACAGAATCGTGCAATCATAAAATTTTGAAAAGTTCTCCAAAATCATCAAGTCCAACCTTTGTCCAAATACCACCATGCCCACTAAACCATGTTGTAGAGTGCCACATCTACTCGTTTTTTGAACACTTCCAGGGATGGTGACTCCACCACTTCCCTGGGGAGCTTGTTCCAATGCTTAACCGCTCTTTCAGGGAAGAATGTTTTCCAAATATCCAACCAGAACCTTCCCTGGCACCTTGAGGCCGTTTCCCCTTTTCCTATCATTAGTTACCTGGAAGAAGAGACCAATCCCCACCTCCTTTCAGGTTGTTGTAGAGAACAATAAGATCTCTCCTGAGTCTTCTTTTCTCCAGGTTAAACAACCCCAGCTCCTTCAGCTGCTCTTTGTAGGACTTATGTTCAAGATCCTCCTTTTTGGGCAATAAAAAGGAGAGAGGGAACAAGGCTTGTGGTGCACAGTCTTGAGTTGCTCTCATGCAGGTTTTGAACACCCATGAAATTTATCTTCCTGTCTTTGAATAGATACCATGACTGATGCAGCCTGTTCTGGCCTTGTGAAGAACAAATAATGTTCTCTACTTGTTCTTGTGAAACTCATAACAGCACAAACTTCATTGGCCTCAGTGTCAGTCCTGCAGGGCTGAGCTAATGCAGACAAATATTGAAGTTAAACTCTAGAAATGCCTTCCTGAGTGGATTTATGTGGCTTTGGCCTCTGGTGCTCTTCAGCAGCATGGTGTGTTAATGTTTCCATGTGATGGTGTCCACCTGCAGCAAACAGTGGGCTGAATCTGTGTGACTCCAGCACAAGCAGCTAAAGAAACAGGGAAGGTGAATATGCCATCTCACAGTAGCACATTTGTATAATTAACTCCTTGGCTGAGTTGTCTTATGTTTAGGTCTTTCATAATATTTTAGGCTACCATATAAATTCTGGGACAAGGATTCATAGAAGTAATGAGCATGCAGTCATTCATGAGTTTCCAGGCTATAGATACAAGCTTAAAGACTGCAGGAGCTTATCTTAAAAATATACCTTTAAAGTATTTAAAGTTTAACCCTAAGCACACAAGATCATTGGTCAAAACCCTGAGAACAAGAGCACTACTTGGAAACAGTTGGAATTATCTTTATAAGCTTGATTTTCTGATATGAAAGAGGGGAGAATGGTGGAGGACAGGAGAACAGTATAGATGAAGACCAGATAAGGAAGATGATATGCATGGGATAAATCTTAGCAGCACTACTGCTGAAAAAGAATATGAGGGTGAATTACATTGTTGGAGATGCCAGATAAGCCAAATCTCAGGAAAAATAAAAATTTTCGTTTCCTCTGCAGTGTTTTGCATTAGTTTGCACACCACTTGGATGCATTACTGTTCTGAGAGAATTGTTCTTTAGTAGTGAAAATTACGGTTAGGTTTTTAGTGGTTTTCAACCCACTATGCTTCATTCTCATGTTCTACAACCAGGGACAGCTGCTTGCCTATCACCTTGGCCTCCAGGCCAAGAAAATTGTTTTGGTGGATGAACATTAAGAACAAAACATATTTTGCATGGTACATAACTAAATAAGTTACTCAGGATTTTTATTTGAGTTCTGATTTCTTTTTTTTTTCTCCATCCAATAGTACCATATTACTAATTCTCAAAACTTCAAAAAGACAAATATTTTTTGAAAACTTGGCCTGAAAATGTAATTATAAGTAATACAGACTATTTAAGAAAAATTATCACCTGCCATGCTAGTCTTTATTAGATTGTAGAAGTCTTCCATCTAATTGTAGTCAATTAAGTTGAATTAATGTCTAAAAGTGCAGATGGCCAAGGAGAAACAAGGAATGTGGTTCTTTCTTAATTTATCTCATACAAGGCAGGGCAGATAAGATGCAATATTTGTTCCAGACAAATTAAGAAAAAGTAGTTGTGATTGTCATTAAACATTAACTCTTTTGATTGGTGATGTAGAGGTGTTTCATGTACCCACAATTTTAAGCTTTTTCATAAAATGAAATATCTGACATTAAGTGACAAGGAAAAAGTAGAACAATTTCCATTGTGGTATGCAAAGAAAAAAAATAAAAAATTAGATCAGAAAATCATGGAATCATAGAATCTTTCAGGTTGGAAAAGATCTTTAAGATCATTTCCAACCATTAACCTCACACATTCAAGTCCACTACTAAACCATGTCCCTAAAATGAAGAACATTACTGTAACCTGTGTCTGAACTACACAAGTTCATGATCACTCTCACTGAATGCCTTTTCCTATAAATTAAGTATTGATCTGTGGTTACCTTACACCTAAGACATAATGCTCCATAATTAACTGTTTGTGCCTGATTTTAATAAACAAGTAGTTATCCTAATTTCTTTGTTAGTGTTTGACTATCTCAGAAAAGTTCCCAATGAAGGAATTCTGCTTCAATAATTAAAGAGAAACCTTTCCTTGTAAATGGTTTCTTAATGCAGTCAAAACAAGCAGTTGCTTTTAGTTGCTCATTAGAGCAAGAAGAAACAACACTATGACTTGTGGAACAGTATGAAATTGCAGTCATTAGCTCCGATAACTTTTTGGAAGGTAATTTGTGCCTCCATTAACTGAAGAGAACGTTACTGCTTTTGAAACATGAGAAAAGGGGGGAGAAATTTATGCTTTAGCAAACACATGGGCTTGTTTTCAAAGCTTATTAAAATTAATCTGAAAATAAACATGCATTTAATACATATAATAAAGCATACTTGACAAATAAAAATTATATTCAGAGGGGACTTCGCTGTGAGAGAAGGTATTTTAGGGATGAGTTCTCTTAGAAAAATTCTGCTGTGAGATCATAAGAGATGACCCCATCCCTGGAAACATTCAAGATAGACTGGATGGGGCCCTGACCAACCTGATCTAGTGAAGTTGTCCCTGCCCACTGCAGAGGGACTGGAACTAGATTATCTTTACGGTCCCTTCAAACCCAAACCATTCTGTGATTCTATGGTCAGACATTTTAAGAATTGTTAGTTCACAATCTAAGCAGAACTAATTCCATGATATTCCAAGAGAAAAGAAGAGAGAAACAGAGAAGGAGGTGCAGGTTCCCTGCTGTTGAGTCTACCGTGTTGGGGAGCGAGGCCTGGTAAGGCCTTGTCGACCTTGGGAGGCGGAGGTTGCTGGCAATCGTTCCAGAGCGACTCTCGGTTGTCCCAAGGAGAGTAGTGAGATATTTCTTTGCTAACTCTTTTAGTGGATAGATATTGGGCTACTAATTGGGATATATATATATATTTTATTTTGGTTTTGTCCCTTTTCCCTTCCCCCTTCCCTTTCCCTTGTGAAATTGTATATATTTCAATTGTATATAATTGTAACATAAGTATAAATATATTTATATATATCGCTTTAGCTGTCTCTCTCTTGTTTTGGGTTTTCTTAGTTGTTTTTTCTGCCTCTCCTCTCTGAGGTTTGGGGGGGATGGGACTTCTAGTGGTAAGGTTTGGAGACTTGGCAGGGAACCAGCTTCAAACCATATCAGCATCCCAACCTTAAATTGAGACCTGGTTAGTGGAGAAAGCCAAAACTGGGAAGGGTCTGTAAGCACGAACACATGCCACAAGTCTCTTCCCCTGGACAGTGATTCTGAGACACAAAAATTCCTCATCAGTGGCCACCTGAAGGTCTGTCAGGGACAGAATCCAGTTGTTCACATGCAGAGAGCCAACACAGTATTTCTGCTGCTTGGGGCCAACGATGAACTTCAGCTCTGGGGTTAAATCGTCCATATAGACGTTTCAGACCTACCACTCCTCTGTGAATTGGACCTTCACAGACCTCTCTTTTCTTCCAGGTTCACTTTTGTGCCTTTGATTTCCCCATACAGTGATCCTTGTTGCCTTCATTCTAATGTAAGATTCAGTCTTCAGTGTCCTTTAAAATCCACCACTGCTCTAAAATGACTGATGAGTCATTTACAGTAATTCAGTAGGTAAATTGTACCCAGGCAACAGTTGTACCCATCTCTGCACTGATGCAAAAAACTATGTGGTGTTCTATTTTAATGTCCCATACTTTAGTCAGGGAATTTTGCCACCTGAATTAATATTTGGAACAAATATATAGAGTGTCAGCTACACAACTATGTGACACAACAAATTAACAATCTTATAAGTTTTTGAAGAATAAAATTCTTTTCAGATATGAATTCTCTAACTAAAAAGTCTCTTAAGTAACTGGCTATGAATTTAGAAACAGAAATAAACACTACAAAAAGCATAGATCCTCTTTGTTTTAACAAAACATTAAGCATTTAGGGAGGAAAACTTTCTACTGATCCCAAGCAGGTCAGTTATTCCATCGTCTCACATTTCAGTGTGTCTGAGAAATGAACCTTGATTCATGGAATAAATCAGAGATAAGAGATTGCATTTATGTTAGGATCTTTTGTACAAGGAAATTAATAGGACAACTTGCTTTTTATCATCATGGAATCTATGTATGTGTAGAGAAGTAGTTTTATGTAATTCTTTCCATGAGGCTAATTCAAAATGTCAAAAGGCAAGGTTAAGATAAAGGATTCATCTCAGAAATGTGCAGCTTTAATCAAAAGTCACACTGAGGTAGAAAACACTCTGAACTTTTTGATCAAGCAATTTTAAAATTATGGTGTCTCCTTTAGAAATTATTTACCCTAAATATAACATCTCCATTTATTCTAAATATAAATATGCTAAACACAAGACTTCAAAACTAAAACAAACCTCTTCAAACATTTAAATAGGAAAATGATGATGCATTGAACGAGTTCACGCCTGAAAAATGTTGTCTTTGCACTTTCCAAGTAGGCTTATTTTAGCCCTGGAGGGTCTGTGTGAGTATTGCTCTGGTAAAGAATGTGTATTTTCAACCTTCAGCAGCTGAGTTTTCAAACCTTCTAAAAAGTGGATTTGCAACTCAGTACATGCAGATAAATGTGTCATAGCCCTGGTTTGTTGACTTCAGAGTCTAAATTTTCAGAAGTCACTGGTTATTAGTGTTGGTTTAGTCTTTATTTATTTTTTCTTCAGTCTGGAACACTGAAATTTCAGTAGAAAAGTACTTCTGGAACTGGGATGTCAAAATGGGCAAACTAAATAGCATATCACAGCTTAAAGTCTGCAATAAGTTCTAATATTTCTTGTTCACTGAGTGCCAAAAAGGCAAAGTAGCATTAAAAAATTGATAACTTGCAGTAAATTATGAAAATCTTGACAATTGGGTGTTACAAACTAGCATATAAAAAATTTATATATCTCAATGGAGAAAAAAAACCCGCAAAATGTATCCAGAGTTCTATGCAGGAGACAACTCTGTTTTACCAACAAAGTTCCTTCAAGTCTGTCATCAGAATCAAAACCAGAGTTTGTCTTAGCAGTTCATGGAGCTATAAATTCCTGTGAACTCCAAGTACCTGAAATGATGGTACAGCAGATTTAGTGCTAAGATGGAAGAACATGTATATTGTCTTTCTACAGATATAACAGATAAAAGTGAAAGTTTGTCCTGCACCTTGAATTCAGTGGGTAACTGACAGCCCTAATAACCTCATTTTCCCCTGAAGTAGGAGATATCAGAGGGAATATGACATACTGAACAGGTCTACAGAAATACTAGAAAATTCTGCAGAAGGTGGTCCTGTACTGGATTAATGTTAGTTAAGAAATACATAGATATAAAAACTGAGTGTTTTCACAGAACCATTGAATCATTTGGTTTGAAAAAGATCCCTGAAGTCATTGAGTCCAACCATTAACCCAAGCCCACCACTAACCCATGTGCCTCAGTGCCACATCTACATGTCTTTTAAATACCTCAAGGGTGATGACTCAACCACTTCCCTCAGCAGCCTGTTCCAATGCTTGGCAACCCTTTCCATGAAGAAATTTTTCCTGATATCCAATCCGAACCTCCCCTGGCCCAGCTTGAAGCCATTTCTGCTTGTGCTATAATTTGGGAGGAAAGACCAACCCCCACTTCACGACCTCATACAATTGGCCTTGGCCCATTGATCCAGCCTGAACAGATCCCTCGATGGGGCTTTCCTACTTTCCAGCACATCAGCACTCCCACCCAACTTGGTGTCATCTGCTCTCTTCCTCTGTCTTCTTTCTGTTTCTCTAAAAGCTGCTTTCTAGACTTTTTAAGTAGTTAAAACTCCCAAAACAAAGGGGACAGGCATCTTTGTTGAAGGCTGTGACCCACCGATTAAGGGACAACCTTCTGCAGATCTGAAATGCAGAACTGAGAGAATATATGAAGGAGTTTGCAGCATGCCTGTAGCCATGTGTTAGAGGGGTTCCTCAGTCAGAAGATCATTTAACCTGATTACATTCTCATTCAACTGAGCCTCTTCATGTTTACTTTCACATCTAGCAGGTAATTCTACAATAAAGACTTTGTTAAACAACCCAGGTGATAAATATGAAGTCTCAGCAGTAATCTCAGATGGAAGACTTTGGGGTCTATAATGAACTAAATTAATACTAAATTTCAGGAAGGTGAAACTGTATTTTTGTATGCGGACCACAAGTATATTTAAGACTTTCTTTAAAAAAATTTGTGGATGGTGAATCATGGCTCAATGTTCTGCTTACCAAACCATTACAGACATGCTACAAGGAGTGATGGTTTCTTGAGAATATTGGTGGTCATGATGTCCTAGTGACTATGGGATGTAAAAGAACTTATCCTGAGATGTATAGATGGCACTTTAGATGACAGTTGCTAAGAAAGAAGACAATATTCATTAGTTAAAATATAGAATACATTAGTTAAAATAGAATTTTAGTTAAATACATTAGTTAAATACATTAGTTAAAAAATAGAATACATATATAAATATGTATTCTTACCAGCTACAGATAATAGTGGTTCTTCCCTGGGGAGGGTGTATATACCTGATTTATATATAAGCTTTCTAGCAAACCTTATTTCACCAAGATTTCTATACTAGCAGGAAATAGTTGTCTTGTGTTAGACTATATTCGAAGAGCAGGTAATAAATCATCTGTAACATGAGTTATGGTTGTGAGATGGAAGAAGCCTTGGAAATCTGTGACTAATGGTAAAAAATAATCTTATCTAACTGCTGATATCTATTCTGTGAGTGTCTCCACCTAATCTAATCAACCAGACTCCCTTTATAGCCAGAGGAGAGAAACAGGTAATCTGAGGGAGTAATTTAACATATCTATTTTAAGATGAGTTGAATCACAGCTATTTCTGTCCATTTACTATAAAAAAATTTGCAGGAACTTTGCAGAGAGAGACATTTCCATTGTGTTTGTAAAAGACCTGGCACAAAAAGGCTGTGATTGCAGTTTGTGCCTTCATATATGTGTGCAAATTAAGCAAGTAATAATAAAAGGTAGGAGAGGTGACACGGTCCACATACAAAGAAAATGGTGCTCTTATCTTCCCCAGCAAAGAATCAAAGATGAATCTTGATTCAGGATTCTGTATAATGCTCCTGAAGGGTTTTTCAGGGTAAAAAGTAAGAGTAAGGAGAAGACTCCAGTATGAGCACAGCTTTCTTATTCTTCTCCTAGAACTTCATTCTGACACTAACAGGAAAAAAAATCCACTGTATTATGTAAAAAATGAATTAATATTTTCCTTCTGGATTTATTAATTGAAATGAAGTTGTAGAAGTGGTGTAGTTTGTTTATTTATATTTTGTAAGACTAAAACCATGATTGTATTTTCACCATGAATTTCATAAATTGACAAAAAATGTGCTGGGAAATAGAAGTCATGTTTGAATTTTGACAAACCAGAAATAGAATTTGGGGTTC